GGGGGGCGAAACCCTACGGGTTATTTTACATTGAATTATTATAGCCCCCCTCAAAAATTCAACCAAATGTCCGCCTATGAAAATAATATTACATATTTTAAATATTATATCATATATATATATTACCTTTAACCAGTAGTGTATTAGTAAATATATTTGTGGGTATACGCACTAATATATATGGATATTAATCCTAAAATAAATTTTCTTGCTTCGCTTGACAACTGTTTTCTCTCGATACGTTCGAAAAAATTTAATTAATCCTTTGTAACTACATGTTTATAACTTCTATTAAGACTATAAAATACAACACCACAAGATATACTTTTGCAGCGCGTTATAAATTGCATGATGCAATTTAAGAATCATGGGCTGAATGTCCACATTTCATATTATTTTATTCAATGTTATTTACTACAGTTAACAAAATACATTAAATACAGCGTACACTGTAATCTTCAACAGCTAAATATTTCAATCAATTTCATGGTTTATAATAGTGCTCTTGGTACCCGGATACCCCGATACTACCCGGGTTTTACGGGCATTACGCAATTTACAAAATTTCGGGTACCCGTTATGGATTGAGTACCCGTTATGGTTTGTATACTCATTACTAGATCTGGGATTTGTATGTAAATACATATTTTTTCTAAACCATGATAAATTTCTTTATCTTTTTTTTTCGTTGCACAGAAAAATAAATGCTGTAAATAGATATTATTTTATACAACTTTTTACAACAATATACTGTTTACTTTTACATTACAGTAAATTAGTAGCAATTACACAATATACGCATACAACGTTTTATGTATGATTCGACGTTGTGTAGTTGCGAGACGCAAAAACAACGACCGATAATAATCGACTGAAATGAACACTAAACAAATAATCTATTATTCTATATCGACATCCGGTCGATATCCAGCGGGCTATACGTTCGATACAGGTTTATAGTATAATTGACAAAAATTGCACAAAAATTATAACGAAATATGAGAGGTAGTTTGCAGATAGCATATTACTGGAAGTATTAAATCCTCTTAGTACATTTTTTTTTTCAATAGGATGAAATATGTATATATGTTATATGTATCAATAGTTTTTAATTTTAATAATAATAATAATAAAATTTGAAAAATTTGTCAAAATATGCAAAATAAGCATAACAATTTTAAAATATGCACCCTACTGCAAAATCTATCAAATATGGAAAATATGCACATTCAAATTTTAGATCTGATATCATGGCACCGAGAAACGAATTTATTTTGCACTCTGCTATATTTAACAATAATTAAAAAAAGTATGCAAATGTTAGAAGTCCCTAAGCCTAGTTATAACGTTATAAAAACGTTTTTGTGTCCTAGTATGGACACAATTATAGTTATAAAATGATCCACATTAAAAAAATTTGAAATGTTTATCTCACATATGATCGATTCCTTAAATATGGATTCAGGGGAGGCGATCACCCCCTTCGCCTCCCTAAAATACGCCTCTGCTGTAAATTCGTAGGCACCGATGATAATTATACAAGTTGTACCTATGATACGATATAAACATAAACAGATAATATAGTACTATATAAAATCGTTTTAAATGATAAATATTGTACCGTAGTCGTTCATTGTAAAAATAGTAAAAATAATTATATTATTTTGTAGTTTATTTGATTAATATTAAAACATTCCTATTTAGTGATAAAAAAAACTAATAAAATAATTTTACTAGTTTTTTTTTACGCAATTATTGCGTATAACAGTCGACTTAGACATTTTAGATGAAAATCGTACAAAAATGTTCCAAAATTATGGAGTAATATGCAGATATGTTTATAGAATTATCGAGAATTTTCTAATTTACCAAATCCAAAGAAATATTAAAATTTGATTTAAGTATAAGCTGTCATTTTTACATTTCAACATTCCTTTTTTATACAATGATGATTAATGATTAATGATATATTTACGACATTCGGTATACGTCATACAATATAGATACATAAAATAATATTTACGACTAGTACAGTGCACACAGTACATACACTATTATGGTGCTTTATTTTATTTCAATTTCGTACTAGATTCTTGTTAATACTTTAGTTCAGTTGTGATATTTTTTCTTGTGTTTTTCTCATTTTCCCTCTTTATTTAGCCTCCTATATTTTTTTCCGACTCGTAACGCAGCGCTTCCTTTTGCTATTGCATTCATCAATTTCCTTTTTAGATTTCTTTCCTTTCAAATTCGTTTGCAATACAATCCTAAGTACGTTTTCATACAAATATATATATACAATTACTCAATATGTTTCAACTGTTACTATTTATTTTTTCTATTTTATTTACAATTGAAATCGATACTCAATACATTTTTATACTATTTCGATATATTTAAAATGTATATGTATATATGTATAAAATCACAGCCACAGAAAAATTCTGTGATGTCCAGTGTCATTTTTTTTTTTTTTTTTGGAACATTTTTACATTTTTAGAATATATTACTTAAATGGACTGATTTTCTTAAAAACTTGTCATCGTAATTCATCTGCCCCTACCAAATTTTTTAGAATTTATCTATTACAACTTTATTGATTAAAAAAAAAGTTTTATCCCATTCAAAAATTATTTTTATTTTTTATTTCTATTCTAAACATTTTCCTAACAACTGCAGTTATTATGGAAGTATTTTTTTAATCTACACGTTGACCGTGTAAAATGTTTTATTTTAGTGCAATTTAATCAAGCATATTATGGATCATTATAAAAACACGTGTTATATATTTTTTATAACGATTATGAAAGCATGTTGAATACTAAGATGTCATCAGCATTTTCTTATCTTAATATTAAATCAACGGCTCATTAAAATTAAGTTATACATGATTTTCAAAAAAACTATTCCTACTTGTCTACGTAAACTAGTAACTAATGGTTTATTTATTTATGCTTATTATTTTTCATATTAGTTGTCGTCTTAGAATCAAACATGACGCCGGCTTTTGCAGCGTCGTCGTACATATCCCCGCTAAATCCAACTAATATATAGAAGACCCCTTGTTTGTCACTGGATAACAGTTGCTTGATTAGTCTCTAAGATGGTAGTACTGATCCAAGCAGACTTACTTGACGGAAGATTACCAGGGATCTGATACGTGTGGCTTATGACTTTCACCCTTGATATCCAGCGGCGTATTTATATGCAAGCACTATAATAGGCAAATGGCTACAGCAGTAGATTTAAAGAATTTATTTTGTTATTAAAAATTAATAAAAATGGTTCATATGTTAAGAAATTATGTTTTAGTATTTAAATAAAATTTGTTTTGCATACTTACTTAATTAATATAAATTGTAATGTAGTTAATTAAATGATAACTCAATTAGTGCGGTATATATTTTTAATTATTTAGAGCGACGATTTTCCACAGGCCTACACGCAGGAAATATATGAATACGCCAAGACACTGACCTCGGGACCACCAAGTAAACATTTTGGTGTAAAAAAGGTTTCACAAATTAGTAACCAATTCGTAATGATTCGTAACCACAAATTTGGAATTTATAACTTAAGTTTATCCGCCCAAAGTTTATTTTACATTTATTTATTAATTTTATTTATAGTAATAATCTTAAAATAAATTAAAATAGTTTTTTTTTTTTTTTTTTTTAATGAAAATAATATAATCGACTGAATTAATACAAGTAAAATAATACTTGATACTCCCAGAAAATATTAGAATGTATGTACAAATAAAAAACAATGAAAGTGTATCTGAGCAATAAGATTAAAGAATTGCGGATCCTAATCTAATTCAAAGATATTTAAAAACTATACAAGTTAAAAAGTAATAAGTAAATGAAAATAATTGTAGAGAATGTGTGTGTATAAAATTAATTAAATTTTAAAATGAATATTTAATCAAGTAAAAATGATTATTATTATTTTTTAATTAATACTAGGTTTTTAGAAACCACCCAAGCGTTATTTCATTATGACGATTTAAAACTTTTACATTATTTTCAATAAGATTTTAAATAAATTAAACAATTGTAGACTATACCGATACATGCATATTCATTAATAATTATTAATTTAAATTTCAATAATAGATTTACAATAATGATTAAATTAATTATTTAGTCATAAATTAATTAAATAATTAATATACAATTCAAACATTTTTCTATAAGAACCTATAGTAAATTCCGTATGCGGCCATACAGTGTTGAACTAAAGATTTTTGCGCCTCTATGGAGCCTATAGTGCTTATATGCCCTTCTGAACATGTGCTTTCAATACGAAATAAAAAATGGTTGAGAATGTTTAACAAAGTCCCCAAGATTTTGTTAAAAAAATAGTCTCCCTCTGTAAGTTGTTTGTATTCTGGTTGTACCTTATCCCCTTCCCCTATTCATAGCCACACATTTTTTTTTTTTATTTGTGTGTACTGAAAGCAAAAAGAAAGTCTTCACTATAAATTATTATAAACTATAATCATGTGACAAATTAATATAAAATATTATATCAATTATTATAATAACCATATTACAATAAAATTACTGAAAATAAAAAAATGTAGAGGAAAAATGTTTGCACCTATAAACTGCGTAGGTAAGTAATTACACTGTTTTTCTATTTCTATGACAGAAAGTTATGGCAAAACGTGATTAATTGTTATCAATTTATTTTTTGTAATGCAGTAATGTAACTGATCAGCCCTTAATGAAATGTCATATAATAAACAAAATGTATGAATACGCCACAGTCCTATCGTAGATCCCTTACTAGATTTGGTATTTAAGCCCAATACTGTTCTAATACACCTCAGTAGAGGGAGTGTGAAAAACATTTACGTTTATAATCATCTTGCAAAACATTTTCAGACAATGAAAACGTTTTGGCAAGAAACCCTACCGCCATCTATCGGAAATATACTCGTGTAAAACTACCCTTTTTGGTGTTCTATTGATCCGTTCGAATACTGTAGGGTTATTCACGCTCCTATCAATGTTAAGGAATGTTTTGCTGATACCAAAGGTTATCATAACATTATTTTACTTAGAATTATTACAAATCGAGTAGGTAGTACTTTCGGATTCGTTCAAGGTATGTACATAACACACTACTTAACTACTTATGTATACTTAGAGCTACTATTTTATAATTATTAAAGCTAAAACTTGGATAGATTTTTTTTATAATATATATATATACCAATATATAAATTTATAAATCTTATTGGAAATATCAACTCTAGTATACAATTTGTTTTCGGACATCATCAACAAGTTAAGAAATACAATTTTTAATTTCAATTTCCAAGACTTGGAATCTTGGTTAAAGATCGTTAATTCTGGTATTTTGAGATAGTTTTTCTACGGTTTTATTAAATATGATTTATTTTTCGGTTTTCCATTGTTTGCCTTTATAAAACAAAATTTTTTATAAGAATGCAATAAAATAGAAAAATAAGGGATTTCGTAAATCTTCAAGAATTTAGTTTCTAATGTTATCCATGGTTAAACTTGATACTGCACGTACAATTTGTGGAACTGGGTGCTGATTTTCACTTTCATTTCTATTCGGTTCGAACACCAAATCGTTGCCTCTTTTTTTTATTTCACTGACAATTTCAAATCACAATGACATACGCATTATGGTTAAAATTTATCAGCTGCATAGGAAACCTGTCGTCTACGCGTGTTCGTTTAAAAACCTACTGCCTATTGTTCGCGACAACCCTTTTGTGTCCACAATCTCGCGGAACATATTGCCGTGTCGATTCAACCCTTTACAAAACAGAGTATTATGATTATAATCTCACTCATGGTCCTCGATACGAAATATCCGTATAAAACCACGCACGCATAGGTATTTGATTACACATATCATAGATTATCATCATGATATTATATCATAAAATGTTGATGGAATATAATAATATATCATATCGACCGATGGTCAATATGGATATGAAACCTATGGACTAAGAATTGTATAACATAAAAAAAAAAATTCTCTTGGATCATATTATAATAATAAACATTGAAATAAAATTTCGCGTGAACACGGTGCAAGAAAAATATCAAATGGAAAAAGAACATTTTCATTATTCCTATTATCTTCTGCTACTTATATCAGTAATCGTAAATATTTTTTGATTATCATATATGTTGTATAATTATAAACAGTTTATATCTGATTGATTTAGTAATGTAGTAAACAATTTTACGTCATATTAATATCATATATAATATCGTAAGTTTGTAGGTATACACAAGTGATATACTCGGGAGTTTCTTTTCTAATTTATTATTTTGCATATATTTACTAAAAATACTATGGGTCTATCATAGGTGTATAAAACCTCTTCTTCAGAGAATGCAATCAATGCAATCAATGCAATGCTATCACTGCCCCATCCCCCACTGAAAATTAATTTAAGCGTTCAAAATTCTGGTAAAAATATACAGACAAATGTTTGAATAACTGTTTAATTTAAAATTTCAATTATTTCCCTAAAATAAGTGACTGAATAATCATTCTTAAATAGTTTTTACTGCCTTTATAATTAAAATTTTAAATTAATTACACAATAAATTAAATATATAACACTTGAAATAGTTTTCGTAATAAACTTAAATAATGTAAATAAACAAAGACATAATCATATACTCCAATACAAAAACAAAATAAGTTAGATAAATAATTATAATTGATCGTATCGAAATTCTGCGTTCAGTTGAGTTTTTAAAATTATCAATGTCTTCAAGATTTAAATGTATAGCCATTTCTTGCTCTGTAGTTGAAAGTATTAAGCTATTTAATCTCTTTTGAAGCGTAGTAGTTCTTAATTTCGTTATTACATTAGTATATCATTTTTGTTTCAAAAACAAATAAAAATGTCTGAAAATAAAGCGAGAACATTTTTATTTCACTTTATAGTAAAGAGTATTCTATTCTACTCACGTGAAAAAGACGTACACTCACAATTTTTTTAGTAACACATCTTTGAGTATATACTTATAATAACGTTTGCTAATTTGAGTTACTGGACTGTCTTTATCCGAGTACTCATACATAATTACGCAGATTGTATCATATATTATTAAATTAATTACACTCGTGACTCGACAATGAGGAAAATAATCGATTTGGGAAATAGAGAATAATATCTTCTGTGAGTTGTACACACTATATTAAATATAGTAAATAACAATAAATTATTAGTTATTGCCCTAACATTTTATCAAAATACTGTGATTAGAAATGTTATAAGATGAAACTTTGCTGATTTTATATGATTTGAACTCGAGCAGAAAAATAAATTGTGTAACACGTAGATTACCGATGGGTTAGATAATGTTTAAATAATTATGTACGAAATTATATGTTAATGGAAAGCGTACATTTAACAATTGCTTTTATAGACGCACGCCTTCACTAGTTTAAATTTAACAAGTGAGTAATGTAGGATAGAGCAGAGGTTCCCAAACTTTTCATACTCGTGGCGCCCTTTTAGAACTGAAGTTTGCTCATGGCGCCCTTAATAAAATTTACGACTTTTTTTTAAATAAAATAGATAAAATAAGAAACATGTTTAATTTTCAATAGATAATATGGAAGTATTTATTTTATATAATTACACACTGAAATATTTAATTTTAATTTTATTAGGTAAAATAAATTAGACTTAGTTTATTTGTAGAAAACAATTGAATTAGTGAGATGGATGAGCCTGGACATCACTGCATATTTTTTCAAATCTTGGGATCAAACTTGATACTGCTACTCTCATTTCCTCCTCCACATTGATTTTTGACCGATATTTGCTTTTGATCACAGCGACCGCCGAAAACCCAGCTTCACATAAATATGAAGTAGAAAACGGAATTAAAACACGTAGAGCTTTTTCACATACAAGTGGATATTCATTTTTTATTGAAATCCAAAATTTGGTCAATTCCATATTGGTAAATTTTGATTTCAAGCTACTGTCGCAAGACAACTCAATTAGACTTTCTTCTTCAGTAGAATTAAATTCTGATGGAACAATGGAGTTAAATGGATCTTGAATCCATGCAAATTTATCAATGTCTTCATTTTTAAAATATTTCTCAAACCATACCACTAGCTGTGATAAGTGATCTTCAAAAATGGATTTCATATCTTGAGAAATCTCAACTGTATTAGAGGTCAGAAACTGCTGCAATATGGAAAATGAATCTTTGCTCGTGCCTTCATTCATTTGTCTTCTCCATAGTTTGAGTTTTTTTATAAAAGCTCTCATTTTATCCATCGACTTTAAAATATGCGTGTTATTTCCCTGCAATGAGGTGTTCAATGCATTCAGTTTTTCAAAAATGTCACACAAGTATGCCAATTTTATTAAAAAATTTTCGTCAGAAAAATCATTGGCATATTTGTGCCCTTCTTCTTTAAGAAATATGTAAATTTCTTGCCGCAGTTCAAACGTACGTGATAAAACATTACCACGAGACAGCCATCGTGCATTGCTGTAATACAACAAACTTGAGTGTTCAGCTCCCATATCATCACATAATTTTTTGAAAAATCTAGCCTTCAGGGGACGAGTTTTTATAAAATTGACTACATTCACTACACATTCTAACACTTGGTTCAGCGCAGGACTTAGATATTTTGCCGCAAGTGCTTCTCTATGGATAATGCAATGGGTCCACAGTGCATCAGGGGCTTTGCTTCTAATAAGTGACTGTAATCCTCCATAACTGCCAGACATGGAACGAGCGCCATCAGTACAAACACCGACGCATTTTATCCAATCTAACATATTTTCTGACATAAAATTATTAAGAATATCAAATAAGTCCTGGGCCTTAGCGCTTGCCGTAATATTTTTACAAAAGAGTAGGTCTTCTACCATGTCATCACCATCTATAAACCTAACATAGCATATCAAATGAGCATCCTTATTATTATCCGTAGCCTCGTCCAGCTGCAACCCGAATTCCTTTTCTTTGATTTTTTCTATCAATTGATCATTAAGGTCCTCCGCCATATGGTGAATTCTGCGGCTAACCGTATTATTGGATAAAGGCACTTTTGAGAGTAATTTCCCAGCAGATTCACCAACCATAATATTTACCATATCTATAGCAGCTGGTAAGATAAGCTCTTCTGCAATGGTATGGGGCTTCTTACATTTCGCAATTCTATAGGAAACTTTATAAGATGCAATCAAAGCATTGGTTGGTATTGATGCATTCTTGAAAAACGTACTTTTTTCCTGTTTTAGTTCTTTTAACTTTCTAATAAAATAATCGCGAGGTTTTCCAATCGTATACTTGTGGTTTGCTTCTAAATGGCGCTTCAATTTACTCGGCAACATGCATTCTGGTGCCAAAACTTTCATACATAATACACATAGTGGTCTCTCTTCACCATTAATTTCTGTTGATGTAAAACCAAAATCCAAATAACTATCGTCATACTTACGACATTTTCGCTTTTTTACCGTTTCACCGCGACTGGTTGATGGTAAAATTTCTTCGTCTTCTAAAGTACTCGCACGTTTACGATTGTTTAATAAAAATCGATCCATAATTAAACCCAGAACAAATTTATAACTTAAAGAAAATCACAGAACTCACTAAATATATATTCTTAAGAAACTTGAACAAATAATAACACACCGAGACTGATATATTAGTGTATAGTTAATCAATACTAACGCAAAAACGAATTTAACCAGACACGAACAGTCGTTTATCTTTATCAAATACAATAATTGGTTAGTATAGTAATAATAACTGACTATAGGAAAGCAGCATTTTTAATAATGAAGATAATCAAAATGACCGTGTCGTTATCGTAAAATATCCTTGTTTATTTTTAGAAAATGGTCGGCAGCGAGGCGCAGCCGCGGCTCCCTTGACTATTCACCGCGGCGCACCAGGGCGCCGCGGCGCACAGTTTGGGAACCTCTGGGATAGAGTATAAATACCTTCTACGGTTGTTAAGTTTTCTTATTATGTTGGATCATCACTGAGAAAGTACTTAGTCAATTTATTTTAACATTAAAAATTGACATATTTAACAATGAGCGAAAATAATTACTTTTACATTGTTACTTGTAAATACATAATAAACCTTTGCTGTTGGACAGGCACGGCGCAAGGGAGGGGGGGCAAGGTGGGGCTCTTGCCCTCTCGGAAAACAGTTCAGCCCCTTCACCAGCCCCCCCCCCACTGAAAAATATGTACGATATAATAAAGTCATAAAACATTATTTTTAAAAGAGCTACATCAAAAATTTATGAAATATACTTTTTAAACATTTTTAATTTATGAAAATACTTTCGTATTTTTGAAGATTTGTGTTTTAAGTTTTCCTACTGATATTGGTGTAATTTTATACATTTTTGTTTACTTATAATATAAAATTTTCAATCATTTACTGTATGTTGCATAAACAGATATTGTGTAAAATATCAATATTTAGCTTATTTATCATATGTTAGTACTAAAAAATTGAGGAATAAATTAAATTTATTATTTGTCTAATAAGAGAAAAATTTACTACAATTTCAATAAAATATGTTTTGAACTTTGTAAAATAAGAAAAAAATTTTTTATCTATTTATTATTACCTTTATTTGAGTACTAATTACTGGATGAAAATAAACAAACAAAAGTATCCCAAATAATTGCATTAAAGATGATTCAAACAAAGTCATCTATTCATTACTAAACACAGTTACTTTCATTTATACTTATGATATGTAGGTAAGTAAAAGAAAAATAATTATTCATTCATAAAGGTATGTAATATTAAAGTCATACAGAAACTATCATTTTTGTACATCATTAATCATTATGAATAATAGTTGTTGAAGGTCTTTGATTAAACATTTTTAACTATTCAAAATTGTTTACATATTATCTGTTTAGACTTTTAGAGCATATAATATAAAAACTTGTGTACTATATGGCGAATAGCTATATCATGTTATATGATACGAAAATATTTATATTTTATTTAATTAACCTAAGTATATGTTGAAAAAACTTTAGCCCATGTATAAAAAATATTTGCCCCACTTTGCCCCCCCCCTGGAAAAAATTCTAGTGCCGTGCCTGCTGTTGGGTAGGTTAACGGACAGTAGAGTTAATGACTTGATATTTATACTTAAAAATAAATTCAAATTAATCGTTAGTTGTAAGTACGAATAAATTATAAACTTAATTTATGTATATACATAAATAATTTCATGACTTGTGAAAATATAGGGTCATAAGACACTATGGCCTTTTTACATACGCACCTGTTAGCTACTTGTTAGTCCTTTTCATGATATTCGGTATAACCGTCATAGGGTAATAGGCCCAAGCGCTAAATGTTTAAATTTTTTATGTATTTAATTTTCTCTAGAAATCTCTAAAGTGCAGTGGTTAATCTATATTGCAGTCCGGTAACCAAATAGGTATATACTGTAAAATATGAACTAATTCATATAATATTACGTATTAGTGCAAAGTTGTAATAAAATTATTACATAATCTTGTTCACCCATTACAGTGATTCCGTCAGACATTATGTTACATAAAATATAATATTTATAATATATTTTCCGTGAAAATGTTATTGCCGCTCTTTATTAAAGATGCTACAACTCGGAACTATGATACGGTGCTATTATTCGCAGTCACAGCGAGCTAGTGGAGTCGACACGATAACAGTAAAGACCCATAACAGTAATTATTGTCGTCTGTTGTCGATATTTATCTGATTTTGCCGTTTGGATTTCGTTAAAAAGCAAATTCCCGCGGGATACTAATTCTCAGAGCACGACCATTTCTTACGACCATTTCGACTAGTATGATTTGACGAACGGTGATAACATCAATGTTTGTTAAAATCAAAAAACGAATTCATAATACAATTGATGGGACGCGTTAATTTTCGGTATGTAGCGCAATTTGGTTTGCTCCGCGGAGCCGCATGATACGAAGGCTATGCGTGGTAGGCAGTGCTCGACTTGAGGGGGGGACGCAGTACCCCAACTAATTTTCAGAAATTTTAGCGTCTCCCTACTATTATTACACTATAATCATAACGCTCAGCCAGTTTTGGAGACGTTCTTTTTTTTTAAAGTAAATAGAGTCCCCATTCTTTAATTTTGCCAAGTCGAGCACTGGCGGTAGGTGCTCAGTAACGTTTGAGTTCTACGATAAGTTTCAAACGATCGAACAATGTAAAGACGGTATAAACATGGACACTAAAGCCGTGAAATCGATTGATTTTTTTTTTTTTTAAGAATGTCAGTAAACACATCAATAACTCGCGCATAACGTACGTTACGCATAATACATTAAAATATGCGACGGTAAGAAAAACAATTAAAAATGATGGGTGCGAGGCGTATACAATAGAAACGTATCACTTGTGTACATACGAGCAAGGGCGGAACTAGGGGGTGGAATACAGGGATTCAGCCCCGGGCATAACATTTTAGAAGGTGTAATTTTTGTAATTATGTATAACTAATTTGATATTTATAACTTTGTTAAATACCGATATTAGGTAAAAATTATGCAAGTACTATTGTATACTAATTAATAGAAAAAAATTCTCGAGAAAAGTACTAGATTGTTGGTTTATGATAGGGCGTAATTTTAACGTTTTCCCCGGGCGTAAAAATTGCTAGTCTTGTCTACGTGTGTGTACGAGGTTAGTGCATTCGGCCTGTGTAGAAGGTAAAAGGGGTTCTCTTTTCTTTTTTCGTCCATGTCTCTCTCCGATAAGCGGGAGGGTGGCCACCGCCGATTATTGGATTTAACATCGTCGGTGCCGACGCCGCCACTGGAGACGAGTGGTGATCGCGCCACGCTGCGTTCACGTCGCCCATGAAATAACGGTGTACGCGCGGCCGAACAAATCGAATTTGCAGATCGTTGGTTCCCGTACGTGCGGGAGGTTTCAGGACCGGTCGGTGGCAGCCGACTGAGCGCATCTGTCGCGCGCGAAAATATTATTCCGTTAAGCGGATAATGATATAAAAAAATATATATATATATATACATACATATATAAATGTGCTTGTGTGTGTGTGTTTGTGTGTGTGTGTGTGTGCGCGCGCGCGCGTGCGTTCGCGAACAGGGAAAAGGAGAACGAACGGGGCCGGAAGGACGAAGGGATGGTTTCGCAAATGTATAAATAATAAGTATATATGTGTGTGTGTGTGTAGGCACTATGAAAGGAACGCTGCTGGCCGAACTGTTGCTGGTGGGCATCGCCGTCGGGTTCCAACGGGGTCCACATCATCCGAGGGCTGCCGTATCCGGCGAACCGAGGATCGAGAGCCACCGTCACGAGCACCCCAAACCCATGGGCGACACGAAGTTCACCCAAGACAAACCGATATTGCACGACAAAAGGTCAGCGCGCACAAGTCGCCGTCGCCATTAAACGCTCGTATAATGCACACGTAGACGTATCATCGTTGAGCATAGCCGAAGCGAAAACGTTGCCCACCAGATGTTGCAACGATTTTAATTTTTTTTTTTCTTTCATTTTCTTCCCCCGACTAGGCACTCGTGTACGCGTAAGTTCGATGATAATTGTTAAACGTTCAACGTTTGGCCGATAAATGTTAACTCTAGTTTTCAAAATCGGATTTTATACGATATGACATCGTACGCGCAAGACCCTTTGGCTTGAACAAATCGTCCGACAGTTGGGTAGTTATCGAGATTATAAGTCGTCCGACAGTGGCAATTTTTGAGAAGCCACAAAGGGGAGGGGCGAAAATATTTTGCATATACTTACAATTTGCATACATATCCCATTTATTTTTTCCTATTACTTGATACATAAGAAGTAATTTTAAGTTCTATAAATTTTATACCACAGTGACATAACATAAAAATATAGGTATCTATAAAAAAATTAAAACAAAAATTATTTTTTATTCAAACTTAATTAACAGTCAAACTTATAGGAACGAACATTTTTGTAAACAATAAACAGTTTTGACATAACAATTATCGCCAAAACGATTTTCAGTAAACTGTTTGCTCATTCGTATTTTTAGATTTTACCAGGATCAATGGGGGGGGGGGGCGGACTGTCTTCCGAACTGTTTTCCGACAGCTTACGGCTCAGAGTTATGTGTTTTCACACTTGTTGATAACCGATTTACACGGCATACAATAATACGTAGCGAACAATTTACTTGTTTCTTTGTTACCATCTAAACGCAGTATCATTTTTTTCAACACAACATATTATTGGATTCTTCCGCCCTCTCACTTTTTTTCTTAGAATCTAAACAACTTCTGTTCAGGCGCACCCGCATTTTCCCGATGAGTAAAAACTGCGATTCGCGATATATCAGGCGTGCAGAACACGCGGGTGGTGGTATAATATCCCTCGCTGCCCCGTGGTTTTTATTTGATCGAAATCGGGTTCAATGAAACGAAACCAAGTACTGCTGCTTGCATCAGTTGCTATAAGCTTATTTTGCTATTATGTAGGTAATTTAGATAAAGTTACGAAAAATGTTGAATACGTAATGAAAGTTATACATTCATTTACATTGGGTTAGGTAACCGATTTCAACGTGTTATTGTTGGGAGAAAAATCATGGCGAGACACCTTTTTACTGGATTTATAATTGGTAATCCAGTTTATTTCAATTTATAATTGGTAATTGAAATACTATTGTAAATCATCGCAATCTGAACCAAGATCGATCGGTATTATATAATACGAAATACACGGAGTACGTAGATGTACACATTAGGTTGAATATTTAATATCTTATTTTTATGCATGGATATTTTTCTAATTGTGATGGATGAGAGCCATGATTTTTTTTATTTTATGATTAGGATAAATTCAGCAAGACTAAAGAAAAATTCTTATGTAATGAATTTACATAAGTAATTTATTTATTTATTTATTTATTTTTTTATTGTTCTTTACAGCTTCAGCAGCATAGGCCATTAGCTTTTGAGATTTATACAATTATATTCTTATATATATATTCTTAAAATAGAGAAAAAAAGAAAGAAAACGGTATATACAATATTAATGACTTATTTCTGTTTAATTATCATATGCTTTTTTCTAGTTTTAATGCCTTTGGGGAACGATGTGATGTTTTCTGGTTGGCAGTCGGGACCGATAATCTCGTACAGGTTCGATGGTATGTTATGTTTTTTTCTTTCTTCCTCGTTGGATCTGCACTCGGTCAGTAAGTGTTTAACAGTAAGGGTCGTTCCGCACGAGGGGCATACCGTTGGTGCTTGGTTTTTCATAAGGTGTCAATGAGTGAGGAGGGTGTGACCGATTCTTAGTCGGGTTATTATTATTTCTGTTTTTCTGGTTGTTTTTGTTTGTGGCCAGGGATTTATATTTTGTTTTATTTCTTGTAATTTGTTTTTTTTTTGGTTTACCCAGTAATTTTGTCATATGTTCCGTGTTAAAATATTTATTCGATTTTTTGTGTTGTATTTTTGTTTGGGGGTTTCAGATAATTTTGCATTTTTTGCGTGTTGGTCAGCTAGTTCGTTCCCGTTTATTTTACAATGACCTGGTGTCCATATGAATTTGATATTCTTGTTTAGGGTTTTTAATTTTTCTACTTGGTTTATGATGGTGGTGGCAATTTTGTTTGTATGAAATGTATTTTGGATGGAGTTAATGGTACTTAAGGAGTCCGTGAGTATATTGTAATGCTGATGAGTATCATTTTCAATGAGTTTTAGTGCTAATAGTATGGTGATGGCTTCAGCAGTATATATTGAACAATTCTTTTGTAGTTTATATGTTGTTATTTTTTTATCGATAATTATAACTATACCTATTCCTTGTTCGCTTTTCGAAGCGTCAGTATATTTATCTTGTCCAATTAAATTGCTTTTGAGATCATAAAACAGGTTCTTGAAAATTTCAGAAGTTTCTTTTTTTTTTGTTTTCTGAAAGTTTCACGTTTATGTCGATTTTGGTTGACCATGGTGGTGTTTGTAAAATTGAGTTTTTTATCTTATTTGAAAAATCTATTTTGAATTTTGTGATGATCTGTATGATGTGTTCTGGTATTAGTTTTTCGGTGTTATTTCTGGTTAGTCTTGCGGCGAAATTGGGTGCTATTTTGATTCTTCGGATCCAGAGAGGAGTTCGCTAGCTATATTATAAATACTATCTACCGGGCTGGATTTGAATGCACCGATGGCTAGGCGTAAACAGGTGTTATGTATTGGGTCAATTGTTTTTAATGCTCTGTTTTTGGCTGATGGGTATACTTCTGCGCCGTATTCTAATTTTGACCGGATAAGTGCTTTATGTAATTGAATTAGTAGTTTGCTTTTGGAATCCCATGAAGTGTGTGCTAATATTTTTATGAAGTTTGTTCTTTGGGATGTTTCTTTTTTTTATGAGTTTTAGATGAGGTATCCATAATAATTTTTTGTCAAATGTAATGCCTAGAATTTGTATTGTGTCTTTATTTGGAATCGTTAGTTCGTTTATTTTGAAAGTGGGGTTTTTGTTTTCTTTTTTTTGTAAAACAGATGCTCTGTGATTTATTGGGTGAAAATTTGAAACCTGTGTTTGAAGACCATTTTGTTAGATTATTTACACATTCTTGAAGTAAAATTTGAATTGTGTTTGATTGTTTACTTCTGTAAAAAATATTTAAGTCATCTGCGAAGAGGGTGTACTTAATAGGTTCCGTAGTGTAGTTTGTTTTATCGTTTATGGCTATTAAAAATAATGTTGGGGATAGACTTGAATCTATTTTGTTTCCGAAGTTGTGTTGCTTAGTTTTACTTGAAATGATCTGGTTTGTAAAAAGTTTTTAATATAATTTAATAAGTTTCCGTTGCATAATATTGTGCTTAATTTTGAGATTATTCTATGTTTCCATGTGCAGTCGTAGGCTTTTTCTATGTCTAAGCTTATTAGAATCATTGTAATTTATTTGATTATCGAGTTGGAACTAATGCAACAATTCATTATTTATTGCAAATTTATTCTTACGAATAACTAATACTTACATGATAGTAATAGAACAAGGTGCTTTCCTTATAACTTAAATTTAAAAATAGCATAACTCATAAAAATGTGACAGATTTTAATGATTTTTATTTATTTCAAAAAAATTATAAAATAAATTACTTAAACAACTTGTATATCTTAAATATTTAATTATTTCTTACATAATTATAATAACACAACATAAATTTACAATTTTAATAATATAACAGACATATTGAAGAGGATCTTGGACTCCCAAACATTGATGAAAGTAATTTAACAGATGAAGAGTTAGAATTCAGATATTTCATGTGAGTAACAATTTTTTACTTAAACATAATTCATAAATACATTTCTTGACATTTCAGTGCCCATGATTATGATAAAAACACAATGCTGGATGGATTAGAATTAATGTCTGCATTTGCTCATAACATGGAAAATCATTATGACACAAATACAAAATTACCAAACTTAGAAAATTATACAGGTAAAATTTTAATTTAGTAACAATATACAAGCTAAATATCACCTAATATAAATGATATTTTTAGATTTGGTTGATCAAATACTACATGATGATGATACAAATTACGATGGATTTCTTAGTTATACTGAATATGTAATTGCCAAAAATAAGCATTTGCAAAATGAATGAAGTGTTTTGCAATTCTTTAAAAAAATATATTTGTTATTATTTTAAACATATTTTTACAATTAATTATCTGATTCATAAGTAATATTTTTTGATGTGATTAACAATCCTCGTTCCCATAAGTCGTTCACAAGTTGTAAAGCCTGGAAAAATTTAAGACATTGTAAATTAAAATTATGAATATAAAATGTGTTTAATATAATATATCAATTAGTAAGTTTTATCAAATTTTAAGAGGTTTATTTCATTTGATATTATTTGGAAATAACTCAAATAGGAAATTATCTTAAAAATAGATAAATAAACACAGTTCATGTTAATATACATAGGCAGAAAACCTATATGTAAATTAGATTAATTCAAGTCATTATTGCTATTAAGTTTTTAATAATAAATTTGTTAAAGAAATTAACTACAAAATATTTTTTTAGTTTTTATAAATAACTTTAAATTAGAAAAAATTATGTAATTATTTTTACTAATTTAAAGCAAATTATGTTCAAATGTCATATATATATTTTTAATTTGCTCATCTATCCAATATTCTAGTTTTCAGTACCACCATCTTAATGAAAATTGTATTAAATTAAGTTTATACCACAACAAAATAGAATAAGATTATATTAAGAGAGTTCTCTTAAAGTTAATTTTTAAACTTTTTTCCAAATACGTTATTATTATTAAAAAAAATAGTTGAGTCCAATATAATATACTCATCTTAAGGTGCGTCCACATTAAAGCAAATTTATGTGTGCATTGTATTTTGAAATTTCACAAGCTTCGTACGTTAAAAATTAGGAAAGTTTAGACCAGTCGAGACATGCTTGTGCATTGGCATTAGTGTTTGTGGTGTACAATACACACAAACTGACCGCTTGTCGGTCTCCATGTCATGATCAAAGGAATTTGTGTTATGCGGTGCTCAGTTTGGACAACTTTAATTTACATGCACGTGTCCCACGTGTAATGAATAAATCATTAATTTTAATAATTTTTCAATAATTTATTAAATTATAATTATTAATGGAGTGGTGCCAAGATAATTACCTCCTACTAATTCAAGAGAATTAAAACGAAAAACATACAGTGTTATGGGACTCAAAAGATCCATTTCATTTTTCTAAAATCATTTGTATTTTTGGCCACCAAATTTATTAAAAACTCAGTCTTTTGAAAATATCAGAAGAAAATTTTTATACTGTCCAGTACTTTCATCAAATTTTAAGGTGGATAACAAACTTGAGCTATTGTTGTTTAATTTATTGTGGAACAACTTTGTTATCCACCAACGTATTTGCCAAGGTTTTTTTTTGTTTTTTTCGTGTTAACAACTGGTGAAAAATTATAAATGCTGCAGCTTTTTTTTTTTTTTGGAATTCAATCTCATTCAAAACTACTGAGCTTTTTAAAAATAAACTAAAAAATATACCTAAACCACGGGTACACACTACATAGTTACCAATAAGTTTTGTAATTTTGCGCCGCAACGTCTGAATATCAAAATACAACTCACACAAAAATTTGCTCTAATGTGGACGCACCTTAATATGGTGCATGAAAAAAATTGCAAATTTAAGTCAATGAAGAAACCAAAATTATAGTAACTGACTTTACAAATAAATTTAACATATTTAAACATACATGATTCATCAAATTTATCAAATATTTTCTTAATGATTTCTATGTAATAAATAAGTTTATACTTTCATGGCACTTTCTTACCAACCAAGTATATTTCTTAATGCAACAATTCTCAACCTTTTTCGATTCACAACTCCCTTTCAGAACTAATGAATTTTTAAAGTTATAGCTCAACTAATCATAAATTAATTTTTAGACTCTAAAACTCTAAATTCTACAAAATTGTAGCATTTTATGTAGGTACTGTGTTAGACAAGAGTGTTGAGCAAAATCTTTAGGAACCACTAAATTAACATGTTAAAATTATTTTTAGAAAAATTATTTATATATTAACCTGTTCATTATCATCACATAAATCAGATACTTTAATAAATGTGGGATAAGTATTGAATAGTTGCTTAACAAACAACCCCATTTCATCTGGTATGACAACAAACTGACATTCATTATTATGTAATTCTTTAGAATTATCAAGAGTATAATACAATCTTATCTCATTTGTCATTTGATCAGTTTCTTCATTTAAAACTGTTTCTTCGATTAGCCTACAACAGAAATTTTTTTTATTATTACCATATCAACATACAGTTTCTCAAAAAATGTATCTATTAAGATTCAACTATTACGATTTTCAATTTTTGTAATAAAAATTAAAAACTATTGAATAATATTTATATGTATTTTGAAAATCGATTTCACCTTACGCTATTTTTTCTTATGAGTTTAACTTCTGCATTATCAAGATCCACACCTTTTGTTGTTTTTCCATTTGATTGTATTTTTGTACCATTAGTAACCATACAAGGCAGTTCAACTTAAAATAAATATTTGACTTAATATAATATAGAAAAAATAAATAATATTAATAAAAAGCCTAGTATACAAGCTTACCATCATTAATTGAAGGTGGTAATGAATTGGTATAAAAATTTTGCAATGAAAACTTATCAATAGCATGATCAAGGTTATTGTAATTTTTTAATTTTTTTATAAGATTATTAACTTGATTTTCAAACAATTGTCTTTGGGCAGAATGAGGTTGTGATTTTTCGGATTCACATAATCCTCCTAAATGTTGATATCCAATGGGTAATCCAGATCGATAAGATACATCATTCTTTTCAGCATTATTTAAGGAATCTTCAACCACCTAAAATTATTAATTCATTCATTTTATTTTTACAAATCAAAAAAAACCTAAAAGAAAAATATTTACTAACATATTTTTTCATCTACTAAAATCCTTTACATAAATTGTTCCAACAATATAAATTCATATAAATTATAAATAAAAATTAATCAGAAATAATATTTATTACCAGGGCTCGGGACTTTATGTGCTTAAAATCTTAAAAATATCCGCATACATATGCATCAAAAAATATGCATTTATTTTTAATTAAAAAAAACATATCTTGCACATCGTCCGAGATTCGTCGATTACAGAGTATTGGCAGACAAAATAATAATGTGAAAGAAAGATAAATAAAAATAAAATTGTCTTCAGAGATAAAAATAGAATGGGTTCCCGAATAAAATAAGCGCAATACCGCTATTGAGTATTGCTTTGTCGGCATTATTGCAGAAGAATTCATATAAATAAAAACTGATTTAGGATGAAGAATTTATCAGCACGTTTTGTTTTCTTAATAACATTTTTAAACGTGTCAACAATGAAAATTTTAAATTAATATTTTTGATTAACTTAAAAAATTGATTTACGAGTAAATTATATAAACTTTTAAACTTCAAACACCACAACACAAATTTGTACCGTATCAGATTTATTTTACATACTTCCCGAACAAATATGCAATTGCATAAAATCCCAAGCCCTGTTTATTACACTATAATAAGTATGATCTACACTGGTAAAATAAATTTCTCTTGCAATTACTACAATTACTAACTACAAAGTTGGAGATGATGAAAAATGCTACCATAACCTTAGTACTGATTCATTAATAAATTAAATGGTTTGAACTATTTTTATCTACACAAGAATATGCCATCTGGTTATATTATATAAATATTATATATATATGTAAGTAATATTTCAAATGTCTTTATGGTTAAAAACAAACTAAAATATATGATTTTACAAAACTAATTTTGGTTATTACATTTTAATTTATATTTCAGAAATTAATGAAGATAAAAGATAAAAATATTAAAGATGATATTCATATAAATTAGTAAGAACAGGAAATATTAAATTGTAAAATAACTGCATAGCAAATTACATTGTTACTCTTAATATATATTTAATATTTGTAAACAAAAAAATAAATTTAAATATTCAATTGCTTAAATAATATAAACAGAAACCTTAAATATATTATTTTAATTTTTTCCTTACCACTTTAAGAAAATCATACATAGTGTTTTGTTGATATGTTGAAAATGTTAAATGCAAAGAATGTGTTTCAGTATATAAAGTGTCAGCCTGATGAATATAACCTCTAGGCATGTACAAAAAATCACCAGCTCTTAATATAACATCAAGAATTGGATCACCTATTTCATCCTGATGAAAATTTCTACTTGAAGTTCTAGGTAAGACTTCAAAGTTACTTCTAAAAATACAATCTTACTATAAAATTAAACCAACTATTTATTTATTTATTTAAAATTAAATATGATTTAATAATTATGTTACCGTGGTTTATACACTCTCCAATGTTTTTCCCCGTCGACTTGCACTACAAATGCTTCAATATCATCATAGTGTGGTGCAAATCCTTGAGAAAATGGTGGCGTAAGGTAAACATTACAACCTACTAATGAGCCAAAATATTCTTGTAAATTGGCCATGAATTTGTAAATTTTTGGAGCAAATAGCTGAGGGTTCAACAGTCGTACGCTACACTCATTATTGTAATAATCCCAAACGACATGCGGAAAAGCACGGCCAACTGGATTATGTGTTTCACGTACATTATTTACATATGATGTTATATCTACATTTGTACCATATTGAAGATTATTTTCCAGCAGAATTTTATCCAATTCAATAAGGGAGAACAACTCGGAAAAGTAATTTGGACTGTTTCTGGGCACGTGTAACGTGGATTTTTCCCAATGATTTCTGAAAAACAATTGAAATAATGAAAAATTAAGCACAATATTTGAATTTTTAATAGTAAAAACATAATGAAACTAATTATATTCCAAACGTTTGTGGCTGAACTTAATATTCAGCGACAGTTTATCCTTTTATTTGAAACAGGAAACACTCACTTCATAAAGTCTTCTACATCGATTGGATGTATCAACCATTCAAACAGCTTTTTTCCGGTCTTGGTTGAATTTTTCAAATTCAGATTGTAAATACTGTTCAAGTCCTTGTAGCCAGTTATTTTCGGTTTGTCGACTACCTGGTTTTCAATTCTATTTTTTTTATTCGAAACGCTGCTCCTCGATTTCTTCTTCTTTTTCCGTTTCTTGTTCACGGACAAATCCGCGTTGGCGTAATATTCAAACGCCGACATACCGTTACGGAATTCTACGGATGAACTCGATTTGGTTGAACAGCAACGACCGGTGAAAATCAACAGTCGTGTCGCTATACCGGTAACATAAATACAAACACGTGTTCTTCACCGCGCAATCGGTTATCAGTACGGATGGAGTCAATAATTACTATCGGTGCTTATCATGACAGACGCTGTTCGATAATTATGATACTATGATGATAACACAACGAGTGTAATAATGAGTGCGTTCGTCTTGGCACATTGAAACGCTCAGACTATAACCGTGACGTCTTAATAATGGAGTATTGATTGTAATCAAAAGAATCAAAGCAAGTTTAAATCATAGATAATAGAAGAATGGATAGGCCAATCATATATTAACAATACAAGGGGTCGCGGTCCGGAATGTGGATGAGAGATAGACTGTTTTTATATAGTGCACTCACTTTAGCAAGGGGTTTTATCATTAGTTTTATTTCATAATGATAATAGAAGATATCTATGATGATAAAAAATATTTTTATTGTTAACGCATTTTATTTTCAAATTATTTAACATTTTTACAAATTGAAGTATTCCCGATTCTGTACGAATTATCATTTGTCTTCAAGCTATGGTTCGTACTTGCATTGTTTGTCATGTATCCTCTAAAGATAATACAGGCAACGTATCATTTCATTTGTGAGTATTCAGTGGCGGATTTAAGGGGGGGGGGCGAAGGGCCTCGCCCCCCCCATTGGCATAAGTTAGGTTTTATTATTTTTTATTATTAATTTCTATAATTTTATCTTTTATATTGTTTCGCTCAAACACATTATATTATAATTTAAGAAATATTATCATTACATATATTTTATATTATTATTATATTATCATTATATAAGAAATTCTCCCAAACATATTACTATTACTTTTATTATGCGGGTATAAAGGCATTTCGCCTTAACGCAGACGGCTGACCGGCTATTTTTGCCATGTATCGTTCCTACTGGCCATCGCTATCTTATCTTATTTTATTTGTAAGACGATTCTCACTAATCCATTTCTATATTGCTATTATCGTTTTAAAATGTTAGTAATTTTACAGTCGTCATGTTACTCGTGTGTAATTCGTATTTCGTACTGTACTCGCCTGTACTGCTGTTGTCCGTAGTGTTTTCGTTTGTAGTCTCGTGTTCAATTATTCTGTTTTAAAATGTCACAAAAACGACAAAGTGAAATAAACTTTTTTTTTAAAAAGTTGAAAACAAGTGACGAAAATAATCTATCTCCAAGTGATGGTATAGAAAATGTAAACGTGTTACCAACAGAGTCAGAGCCAGCTACATTTTCTGATTCGTGTGAAGTCGATTCTAACAGTCGATATGATATCGCATTTGCTATTGAAGAAAATGCAAATCTAAAAATTCGAAACGATCCAAATATGCTTTACAAATATTTAAAAGAAACGTGGTCACCTAAACAAAATTATATTTTCCCTGTAAGTATGAATAAAAAATTAAGCAAATGAGTTTATCGATTAGATATGTTGATTTAAAATCATGCTTGATAAAAGAAAATTTTAATTGCTTTGTTCCGGTTTATGAATGTACTGGTGAAAATTTAGCAAATACAATCGTCCAAAAATTAAAAGAAATTGGTTTAAGTTTGGAATTTTTACGAGGGCAGGGATATGATGGTGGAGCAAATATGTCTGGTAAATACTGCGGAGTTCAAGCTAGAATCTTAAATTTGCAACCAAAGGCAATATACACTCATTGTGCATCGCACCGCCTAAATCTAACTTTAATAAAAGCATGTAATGTATTATCTATAAAAAAATTATTTTCTACAGTCAAAGAAGTATCTAACTATTATCTATGGTTTTACAGGTAGAGACATGATATCGAAAGAAAAGTATCGATACTTTCACTTGGTAACGAATGGAATGAAAATAACGACACGTAACGACCGGTATGAGTATCGAAAAAAAAATATTGATCCTTTTACTTAGTCCTATCATCGTAACAAATATAATTAAAATATTGATAACAATAAAATATGATAACGACCTATATGAATAAGTATCAAATGAAAAATTATTTTTATATTTTAAAGTTTTCTTTCTCCAAGTTAAGAATGAATTCAAAATGTTAGTATGTCTTAAAATATGCCATTTTACTAATATTTAACTAAAACTAGTTATGGTTCATGAACCACAGATAAAAATGCTGTATGTAAACAAATTTTTAATTGTTTCCGCCAGGTACCTATATCATTATTTGTAATTTATATTTCATCTAATCGGTATATAAATCAGTAAATCTAAACATATTGTATATTTTGTGCAATACTTTTTACTATTTCCATGGCTAAAAATGAACTTAGTATACATAATTTATGATAAAAAGGTTTATTATAAACCTATTGACACTATTGTATTGTGGACTGTAGTTTCTGGTTCATGGAAATGACAAATACAGTCGTATAAAGTATAGACTTTAGTATGATGACCGAATTTTATAAACAAATTCCTTACCATGCGCGCAAATAATTTTTCTAGAAAAGAATTATTCTTTGATACCATCCGACCATTCGAGTACTTTTGATTTTTGAACCATTATGGCGGTTAATAAATGATTTAATGCTATACATTCGATACCAGTATTTTTTTATCGATACAAGTAAAGTATTGATAGATACAAAAAGTACTTGTATCGAAAGAAATGTATCGATATTTTTTTAATATCAGTAGTATCGCAACATCCATAATCACGAGGGCTCTTCTGTAAATTGTTGTCTTTTCGTGAACACTGATAGTATGTTTATGTTGCTGTGATGTTTCAAACACCGATTTAATTTGTTTCCTTGTCAATCAATCTTGTTGTCCAACAATGTTTCATAGCGGCCCTTTTATAGGTCAGTGACTAAGTGTACCTTTTGGCCAAAAGAAGAGGAACAATGCCGAAACATCACACATGATATAGCAGAACTTGCATCTTATTCCTTCTACACCCATTTATTACATTTTTTATTTACTTAAACCACTAAAATGTCAAATCTTCAACATAGTGGCAACTTGAGGTAATTTATGTAAATATTAAACTTTATCTTCCATTCAAAATAAGAAAATAAATGTATATATTTTTTATAACTTCCAAGGTAAAAAATTCCATTAAACTATTTTATATTCTCCTTTCATCATATACAACAATTATTGTTCAATAATCTTTTTCAGAAATGCTCCTGCGAAGAGTGTCCTTGATGTGGTGATATAAATATTGGCAAATAGTGGTGTATCAAGTCGACTGAGTGATCCAGTAATAGCTAAAAATTTCTCATTATTGATTGATATAAATGGTATTAAAGATGACATTAAAGAATTTTCAAGGTCTGAATGCTATAAAAATTTGTAGAAGTAAATATTTCCTTTTAATAAAATTATAAAATAACTTATTATTTTTCATAAAACATTAATTATTCATATAAACATTTAAACTTGATTAATAAAAAGTCAGAAATAAAGCATAAATTTAAATAATTTTTATATTTCTAAAATATTTTAATAAGTTATAAAACAATCATATTTATACCATTAAAAATTAAAAAGTGATCTCAGACTCCCGGAGGAATTTTTATTTAGGTAAATGAAAAAAAAAATCTCAGTTTTGAAAAGAACCATAAGGAAAATTGAATTATAATAATATTATTTGGTTATTAAAGGAGAGTAATTATATAAAGAATATATATAGTTAAAATAATTTATTTAAAATTTTTAAATCATTTTAAGTAAATTACAAAATTATCATGTATATACCATGGAAAATGTAAGGTGTAAAATGAAAAAAGGTTACTTAGCTCCTGAAACAATTTTGATTTTGATAGATGAAAAAAATATCCCAGTTCTGAAAAGAAAACATATCAGATTTATTAAGATAATTTATAAAAATTAAATGAATTTGATTTTTATACCATTAAATATTTTAAGTCTAAAATTCAAAAACCAAAACGAAAAGGGGATCCCCGGCTCCCGGAGGAAAATTGATTCGGGTAGATCCAAAAAAAAAATCCAGGTTCTGAAAAAGAAACATAAAAAAAAATGTATTAAAATTTGAATATTTTGAAACAAAAAGAGATTGATAAATTTAAATTGAATTATATATAACATTTATGAGTGTAATCTATCAAGAGTTAATTATTATTAGTTAATTTTAATCAAAAGATTTTAATGTTTCAAGATATTTTATGTAAATTAAAAGAATTTGATTTTTATTCCATTAAACATTTAATGTATAAAATTCAACAAAAAATATTATAAATGGTTACCTGGCTCTAGAGGGACACTTTGTTAAGGTCGAAGGAAGGAAAAATTCAGGTTCTGAAAAGAAACAAATAAGATTTATAAAGA